GAGTAAAGATAAAGGCAAACATGAAGACCAAGGTAAATTTAAACACTTTACTTATATGTATAAGTGCAAAGGTGAAGGGGAATATGTATATGAAGAATATGATAAACATAAAAATAAAAACAAAGATAAATATAAAGAAAAAGATGCGGATGAGGATACCGATAAAAGTATAGATGAAGATAGAGGAAGAAAGATTAAAATAAAGGTAGTTGTAGAGAAAAGGATATAGATAAAGGCACAGAGACTCAATCTCGGAACTATTTCGGGATTTTAGGGATTCTCGGGACTTATCGATATAATCGATATTTTGTTGGTTTTTCTTAGTGTGTGATTTCGTTTTTGACTTGGATATGCTCTTAACCATACCACGTATTCTACGTTTAAATATAGCGGCTGTATCTCCGATACAGCCTGCAGACCAAGACGAAGGCGCTGGACTGTTCCTTTTTCTTTCTATATTTTAAGTTAGACCTCTAGCAATACATTGCTGAAAATTACACTCAATTCTCTGCATTCGTTTTCGAGTGATGCGCCTACAAACATGCAGACAGACAGATAGATAAAAATTCTAATAGTTGTTGATTTAGCTTCTGTTGCTCTAATAAAGACCGCACAATTTTATTTTTCTTTAATATCTATAATGTACAGACATCGGCTTGTTACAATTTTACTATATGTATAAATTGCAAATTTTTTATTAGTTTAGGCATTCTTTTAATTTATTTATTTTATTTTATTTTATTTTATTTTATTTTATTTTATTTTATTTTATTTTATTTTATTTTATTTTATTTTATTTTATTTTATTTTATTTTATTTTATTTTATTTTATTTTATTCTATTTTATTCGATTTTATTTTATTTTTATTTTTTATTTATATATTTTTTTTCGTATGGACTCATTTGAGTTTAAACGGCTTTGGAAAACTCTCTTTGCATGGATACACAAATTCGCATACCTAAAACTATACCTTTGCACTTTATATGTAAAGTAAATTGTCCACTTGCCGCTGTAAATGAAATGCCAGCAATTGCATATGTAAAAGCCAATTACAGCAACACTAACCACGCACAGCTGTTGAGGGTCACCTGCAGTCAGCAACAACCAGCATAATTGTAGTTATGTTGCTGTAGCATTTCAGTTAAATTTATTAATGAATATGCAAAGAGCAAGTAGCGGTGAGGACTTTGCAAAATGCAAAATGCAAAAAATAGGCGAAAACACAAAATGCAACCAAAGTAAAATGCATGTTCACGCTTTTAAGTGTCATTTTGAAAGGGAGGTAGCAGTAGGAGTTGCCTAGGCGCATATCACAGGAGGCATGCGGTCTTATACAGTATCTGTATGTATGTATGTACACTTGTATGTAAAGTGGAGTTCTGCAGGCGCACCACTGCGGCTGCATTCACAAATGTAAGGCAGTGCAGCAACACCACATCCGGTTGATTATGGGGAATAATACAATGATATGAAATTAAAATGCAGAAAGTAAAAAAAGAAAAATTTGCAAAACTGCATACAACAAAAAAATGCCGCAATGAACACGCGAATAAAGCGTCGCTTTGCAATCATACATACATATGTACATAAAATGTTGTCGATTGACCGGCCAGCTGTTTAATGTATTAAAGTGGAATGAAATGGGGGTGCCGTTTTTGTTTGTTTTTTTTCCACTGATAATAAAAAGTGCGTTGCAATTTTTTATGCTGCCAGGCAAAAACTGATAATTGTGTGCAATAAAAGTCGAAAAAAAAATTAAAACAATATGACAATAATGGAATAATGGAAAATGCGTCGCTTAAGACTTTCGTATAATGAAATCTGAATAAAGCGACATTAAAAACTTTATGGAAATCTGCATTAAAAGTGATTGAATACTTGCCTTATTGCACTTTTCTTGCTTTGACTTTCAATTCCATATTTTATGATTAACTAAATTACAAAAAAGAGTTGAAAAGTCTACACAATTAAAACAACAAAAAAAGATACTTATGAAATCCTAGCAATGTGCCAACTAAGTAGCTGCGATTCACTTGCCTTTTCCGCGCACTCGCATTAAAAGTCTAATTTTTGCTATTATTTTAGCTATTTACACTGCCATTGTGGTCGTGTGACTTGCTGCTGTCGGCATTGTCGCCAGCGAGTGACAAACATTTCCGGTTGCCTTTTTTATTTAATTGACCTTATCTCTGCTAAACCATACAGCCAGCCATAAGTGGTAGCCTTTAATGCAGCTCCTTTGGCAGCAAGTTGTGGCTAGACTGGGAGCCGCATTGAGACGGCGGACGGGCAGCCAGGCTGACTGACTGTGTTTTTTTTTTGTTTTGATAAATTGAGCCGCCGCATGACAACAGCAAAGTCAAATGGGGGCTCCAAGCAGCCGCCGCGCCGACAGACAAAGCGGGCGGCCGCCACATTTACAATTAAACAAACTGAAACTGAGGCTGTGATGGATGTTGGATTGAGAGTGGTTGTTGCGGTTGTTGTTTAAGAAATATTAGTACAAACAAGCAAACATAAGTTTATGTACGTTTAAATCTTCCACAGCGGCTTTAATTAACACATTTGTCGGGACATGCGTGCGCCCATACATACATACATACATACATACAAACAAGTGAAATAAAAGAGCAAATGAAAAAAATTAAATCTGTCGGATTTTAATGTTGTAGTGAAGCAAGAGCGAATAAAATTAAAAAGAAAAACGTCTACAGTTTATGAGTACGCTTTCCTAGCAACTTCAGGGCAACTGGCA